AAATGACGGAGAGACAGCAAGGAGCCTGCCGATGCAAAGGGTGCACGAGGAAAAGGATTTAGGCATAGTGGTCACGCGGGATTTCAAACCCAGCACCCAATGTGTGAAGGAGGCAAACAAAGCCAGAGGACATCTGTTTCGTCTATGCGCAACGATGATATGCAGAAAACCAGAGGTCTTCGCCCCTCTTTCCAAAAGCATCGTCCGTCCGCATCTGGAATATTGTGTACAGGCTTGGGCTCCGTTCTTTCGGAAGGAAGTCGATACCTTAGAGAGGGTTCAACGTCTAGCGCGAGAATGATAACTGGGCAACGGGGGAACAGCTATGAGCAGCGGTTCGGAGATTTATATATGTTCTCCCTCACACGGAGGCGGATTAGAGGAGACCAAATCGAGACATTTAAAATCTTCAAGGGTATGTCAGCTCTTAGGTTTGACGATCTGTTCTCCTTGGTCTCGCACAGAGGCACGCGGTAACATTACTTACGTTTGCAGAGACGCCACTGTAGATTACAACTGAGAGCAAGGTTTTTCACTAACAGGGTAATTTCGTTGTGGAACCGGTTGCCGCTATCAGTGGTAACATGCAGTACAGTGAATGCTTTTAAAAAGACACTTGATGAGTGTTGGATAGCGGTTTTCCCTGAGGTAAACGTTTAGTTGCCTCTATATCCTAACCACAAGGGATGTGATACTGCACCACATATTTCTGCCTTTCAAAAAAATTGCATATAGAAGTGTTGGAAGCGAAGGAAACTTGCAGACAATACACGAATCTGGACGCTCGATTGGCAACAGCCACAATTCGTCCTCTGAGAACTGAACTGAACTTTGACTCAAGAGTCTGACCCGCAAGGCAGCGGGAATTTGTGGGTTTTCTTTGGGAACCCTAACCAAAGCCTTTGACTTGGGAGCGTGAAAGAAGCACCCGTGTGGGAGCTTCTGCAGACCTGTCACGCAATGCCTTTGAATTTCGGTTAAGTTTGTTGTTCGCTGGTGCGTTGATTGTCAGTCTGCTTTTCGGTATCAGCCCTTAGCCTCATGCACCCAATGAGACAAGCGGGGCGTGGACGGGACAACAACTTATTGGCTGAGGGCTACCAGCTTGGGCGGGTGGTAGCTGTCCAATGAAGTGCGAAGACTTCTCCCACCGTCGAGAGGTAGCCGCAGGTACCCCGCTCCTACGTCCATCTAGCGGGTTTTTTTCGATCGATAAACTGCCCCTCACCTTGAGGTGCGCAAGCCATCAACACGTCAAGGTGCAGTCTCCTCGTGATGGAGCCGAATATGGAGCCTAAGTGCTCCGAGTTGATCAGGTTACCAATGAACCCAAAGGTTCACTAACCGAATATGTTGAATAGTGCCTGTTTCGCTCCGAGTTATTCATTTTCAAACTAATTACTGCTGTTTGCGTTCGTGAATTCGCTGGTTATTGTTAAAGTGTCATCATAAGCATCATAAGCTTGTTCAAAATGTTTTAGTCAACCTGAATAGCCGAACATTCCAGATCGTATGTGTTTGTCGATTGTCAAGTGTGTGATATTACAGAGAGTTTTGGGTTTGAAGTATCGAAATTTTGGAGAGATGGACGTAAAGCGAGAGGGGCATATTAGTGATGAACGTGAATAAAAAATAGAGACCGAAGGTTCCATGATAAGCTCCAGCGATAAGGAATTAAACAGTTCGTCTCCGTAAGCGGGAAAAGGGGAGGACCGCGAAATACAATAAACAAATAAATGTATCCTTTTCTTGGCATCAACCAATTACATGCTCACCACCAAGAACATTGTCCAGGACCCCTTCTAAAAGGCAGATATTTCTGACATCTCTTCTGAGCGATCCACTAGTGGTTTTTACCTCTATTTCTCTCACCATTCCATCTTTGATTTTTCTGGTTTTTGTGTAAGACCCTAAGGCCACTCGTTCCTGGGTTTGCTTTGCTCTACCGCTGTCACTAAATCTCCCGGTTGAAAGTCCCTCTGTCTTATACACCACTTGAATCTGATTTGAAGTAATGGCAAGTAT